AAAGGGTGAGGCTTCTCAAAATTTAATGTGTGTGTGAATGACCTGGGGACATTGTTAAAATAAAGACTCTGTTTTATCAGGCTGAGTTGGGGTCTGTAATTCTACATTTCCTACAAGCTGCTGAATGATGCAGATCATGTTTGAGATTGTGTACTATGATTCAAGGAGCAGGGGCCTAGTGGAAACTGATTCTGTAAGAAATTACATGTGAAATAGTTTCATAAAATGAATAATGCTATCCTAAGACCTTTTTTAGTGGGGTGGGTAAGTGAAAATCTGTATCTTCATGTAAAATTTTTTCTTAAAATAAGATTCTGTCTTTAACCAAAGCCATGGACAAATGGTTTCAGGACCTTGGACAGCAGCACAAACAAATGTTTTAAAGGGCCAGGGCCTTAACTGGAGAAAGATTGAGAGTTAAAACTGTATGAAAGTAGCCAGGCATGGTGACACATGCCTGTGATCCCTGCACTCAGGAGGCTGAGGCAGGAGGATTGCCGTGAGTTTGAGGCCATCCTGGGCTACATGGTGAGTTCAAGGCCAGCCTGAACTACAAAGGGAGACCCCCTGCCTCAAAAAACCCTAAACAACAACAATAACAACAACAACAAACCCCCACAAAAAACCCCAAAAATGGTATGAAAGCATTTGCAAAACAATGACATTGAAAATATTATTGAGGGCTGTAGAGGAAAGGTTTTTTTTGTTTTTTAAAAAAAGTATATACCTTTTTGTGCCTTCCCCACTAGTAGGGTCTGTTTTATTTCATGTATAAACTCTATTCTGCCAGATTCTACACTATTCTGTGAGATTTCATCAAACACATAAATTGGGTCATGAAATAGAACCATATAGCATAATTTCTCTATAATTTTTGACTCCTCATGAGTAGAATTAGAAGATGATTTTAGCCTGAATATCAACCTTGAATGATGAAAAGGCTAATGGAACCAAGCTGCTAATTCAGGCGAGGGAGAGAGTGTAGGATGTCAACAAATGGTTGTTAAGGTGGCCTGCTGAAGTGGCTTTTGGAGCCAGACAGGACTGGGCTTAAATACCAACTCACAAGTCACTCACTGTGATTTTGAGTAAACTGAATTTAGTCCCCATGAAGCTCAGTTTTCTCATCTGAAAAATGGAGGTAACAACGCTTCTTCAAAAGTTATTGTGAGGATGAGGTGAGATCACCTACTAACATTTAGAGTGTGTGACCATGGGCAAGAGATCTCTTGGGCCTTAGCTTTTTTTCTTCCGTTGAGTGAAATAATTTCTAAGACTTACTCTGGCTCTCTATGATTCAATGATAGTGAAATGAGGATCTAACCTTTGCTGGTTATTCTGCAATTTCTTCCTGTCTTATTTTGTCATTGGTTTATTCTTCAGTTTTGTACTTTGTGATCTGGGTACTAAGAACTGTGTCACTTCACTGTCTTCCTGGCTGACTTTCCTCTGAGTTTAGCCAGTGGGAGGTTTCAATGTCGTACCAAAGGAAGTAAGAGGGAGGTTGGGTTATTCCCATGCCTTTATCTCTGGCACATATGTCTGACCGTGTATGGCGCCATATTGCTGGAAGCCCCTCCTCCCACAGCGCAGTCCTCACTGAGTGCCAGTAACTCTCTCCTATGATGGCCTCATATGGCCGAAGGAGGTAAGATTACCCATTATTTCTAGTGGGGGTCCAACAACTCTTGTTGTCTTACACAGAGCATTTTTGACAGTCTGTTGGTTAAAGCCTCATTGAAACCACCTGAGCGATTTGGTTCCCCCTAAAACTCTGATTGATATAGAAATAGATCAAGAGGAGCAGATACTAAGAACTCCCACTGAAAACCTTTTATGGAGTTAATAGACATCCTTAAGGAGATTTCTTCTTTGGGTTAATCCAGATCCTCCACACTGTTGATGAAATCTCACCTCCTCTTGCTCTGTCTTTGGTGGAGAGAAATAGTGTGCTACTGTCATTCTCCTTAGACAGGGTAGCACCTCATGCAGAGAGTTCCTGGGAAGCCATCTTTCCCGTGGCCCCGTTTTCTCCCTTTTAATCAGAAAGTTTTCCTCTTTTTTTTGGTGTGGCACCAACACATTCTCTGTATAAATCCAGGAAACTCACAGTGTCTATTTACCCCGGTAGACAGGAAACTCTTCTTCCCCTTGCTGTGTCTGGCAAGTACTTAGATTAACCACACACCTCCAAAGAGCCTGGGTCATCACATTTAGCTGAATGCATTTATAAAAGGATCATTATTTAATAGATAAACTTCAATTAACTCACTTTTATCTTGCCTCCCTGAGTTGGTGAATAAAATTAATGAGGATGTTGCCGCCATGCCTAACAGCTTCTGTTTGTGACCCTTTCAGCAATTTCTTTGCTTTTATGTACTTGGCCTCAACTTGTAAGTCACTTTCATTCTCCAAGCTGATGCAAAGAAAGATTGTGACAATAGTTTGTGGGTGGTTGTCAGAATTGATGGTGGTTTGTGTGGGAAAATGCATAGCAAGTTTGAGAGCTGATAGAATCAATTAAAAAAGTTTTACCTTACAGGAAAAGGTCAAGTTGAGTGTTTTAATTATGATGTGGTTATAATATATCTCATGCTTCGACGACCTGGGTTTGGAGAATTGCAAAACTATGCAGTATTTCCAACATGACAAAGGGCATAAAAATAATATGATCTTTCAGAGGATGACTCAGAATCTTTCAGAGAAGGCAAAGAGGTAGAATGGGAAGGGTGAACTATTAAGTGACTTGGCCTCCATCCTGGACAAAACCATTTGCCAATTTTAGCCTAGCTTCCTCACCTCTAAAATGATGTACAACTGTAGGTCTTAGAAAGTTTTCATAAGCACCACATGAAGTCCTTACTGGAACTATGGTTAGTCCCATTTTGTGGAGAAGAAATTGAGACTCAGAGAGACTGAGAATATTACTCAAGGTCATCCAGCCTGCAAAGTCACTGCCTGTAATAACTGGCTCCCAATCTTGAGCATCTGACCAGGAAAGCATCAACTTGCCGTGTAGGCAACTGGAAAAATTAAAATTTGCACCATTTTCTAGATGCTGTCACCAGTGATCTTCAAGGACTTGTTCAAGGCCATATAACTTACAAGAAGTGGAGCTGGAACATTGACACATGACTAACACCAACCTCCAACCTTTTAGCTATTATGCTAAATTCCCAATTATGATTATAACCATACCATCTCAAAGATATAAAGAGAATGTGATGAGAAAAGAATTCAGATTTATACCCAATAAATGATCCAGTTTATGATTATAGGAAGCAGAGTTCAGGGCCTCAGATTCTGCACTATGTCTGGCTAACCAGGAGCAGGGGGGACCTTGGGTTTTATTCTAGCTCCTACCACAATGTGTAAATGAGATGACTGTTTAGAAATTTTAATCAGCATTTTGTAATTTGGAGGACATTATAGTAAGTGAAAATAAGCCAGGTCCAGAAAGACAAATATCTCATGATCTTACTTATATGTAGAATCTAAGAAAGCTGAACCCATAGAAGTAGAGAATAGAGTGACAGTTATGGGGAACTGGAGGAGGTGGGAGCAAGGGCAATTTCAGTTGGACAAGAGCAATAAGATTTGAAACCTATTGCCCAGTAGAGTAACAATGGTCAATAATACTGAATATTTCAAAATAAGTAAGGAAATGCATTTTCAGTGTCTTACCACAAAAATATGTGAGGTGTAGATATGATAATTACTTTGATTTAATCATTCTACATTAAATACACATATCAAAACACCATGTTGTGTCCCATACTGTATACAATTAATACGAATAAAAGTCAGCATTGTGCAATTGCTTGAATATATATGCAAGCACCAAACACAAAGTGTGCACCATTTTCGAATTTATTATAATACAAACAAGTCCAAACACAATATATTATCTAATTAAGAAAATACGAACATTTACTATTTTTCTATGGTGACCTTCTATTCCACCCTTTGAGCTGGAATAGCCAACATTGGAGTCTTTTATTCACTTCAGGTGAGCTCCTCCTGTTGGAATAATGGCACCAACTGTGCAAAGTGACCTTTCCCAGCGCAGGTGTTTGGAAGATGGAAGTTCATGCCTTCTCGTGGTCTGTGTTTTACTATTTGCCTGTCATTCTCCTCTCTTCCTTCCCCATGACACATTTCAGTCTTAGAGTTGTTTGGTAACAAGACATAGCATGTACGTGTGTAGCATCATCACAGTGTCCAACCAAAGCATCCAGCAAAGGAGATGCTAGTTAACAGGCTTTGAAAGAGGCATCACAGAAACCCAGGCGAAGGCAATGGCTTGAGTGCTCTCAGTAGCAGCTGTTTACACGACAAGCTTTAAAATTCAAGGCTTTCTTTCCAAAACTGGCCTGAAAGAAAAGGCTTCCAAATGTCTTAAAGTGAAATAGAAAACCCTTTCCATTATTGGTTATTATTATATATAATAATAAATTTAAAAATACTTGGATGATTTCAAATAATTTCAGGATGTGTGTATCAGCCACACCCTCTGGATATTCATATGCATTTTCAACAGAAGACAGCAACACACCAGAGTGCTTTCAAGTGTCAGAACTTTTAAAATATCATTTAGCAAAATAGAAAATAGACTCAGAAGGAAAAAGAGATCATGACACTACTTTGTAGAACTACTACAGTTAAGAGAAGTAATAAATGAATGTCTGAGGCAAACACTCCCAAAGCACATCCGGTTTAAAAAACCAACAATTAATTTTACATAAACAAGTAAAACCGTGGAACAAAGAGCGTTAAGATTCACAGGCTTATTTTCTTTCTTTTTTTTTCTTATCTTCTTTCTTAATGTATGTCCTCAAAAAGGAATTGCTTCACTTCGATAGATATTGCACTCTGACTCATTCATGTATAGCTCATACTAGCATTATTCAGAGCTATATATTTTAAAAATAAATAAATAAATAAATATATATATATATATATATATATATATATATATATATATATATATCAGTGTAGGTAGCCTTTGGTCGGTGTTCATTTATAAAGGGGGGTGGTGGAATCACGCCATACATAGTGAGCACACATTCCACAACACATGCTTGGCAAAAAAGAGACCAAGAGAAAATTGCAGTTTAAGGGATGTAGGGGACTCTATTTGCCACTCCCCTCAACGAGCATATGCCCTGGGGAGCAAGCCAGACAGGAAGTGGGAATCTGTGGCCCTCAGTTGAACAACTCCTGTGCCCTTCTTTTAGTGTGAGCATCTTACTGTACCAGGGCGGTCTTGATGTTCTCAGACACATTAGACTCATACAGCACAGTCCTCAAACATGAGTCCAGTGAGTCTTGTCTTCAGTGAAAAAGCCAGAAACCTGCTCCAGTGCAGAAGACAAATTTAGCCATTTTAGGTTTTTAAAGGGACAGTAGTTCATGTCCCACATTGTTCTTTACTGAGGACTTTGTACAGATAACTTTAGCTCTGCTAGAGTTTATCTTTGCACTAACTTTAGAATCTACCCTTCTACTGCAATCATTTAAAACAAGTAGGACTTAGGATCACAAGGACAAATAGGACCCAGAATTATATTGAGTTAGTATTGGCTGAAGTTTAGGGCTTGTGCTGCCCTGAGGCCTTTTCTACCCTATTCATTTATGGCAAATTCCCATAAAAAGGATAAAGATGTATCTTCCAATTTAGGGACAAAATACAGTAAAAATCAAGCTTAAGGGAACAAGTGTCCCAGGTGGATTGTCTGCTTTTTATTTGGCCACCAAAAATAACATGCAACCCCCAAGTCAGTTTGGAAAATTTCTTCCAGTACAGGGATGAATTCACATACTGAGAATCTGGGAGAGAAGTTAAAAAAAATGCAAAACAAGAGGAGCTCCAGCATGGACTTCCCTTTCAAAACACATCGCTGGACACAGAGGGGTCTCAGAGAATCAAATATATGTGCATGTGTGCGTGTGTGTGTGTGTGTGTGTGTGTGTGTGTGTGTGCACGCTTGCACAAGAATGGAAATTCCCAGGGAACCCCCTATTAATTGCATCCTCAGACTGTTCTTGCCTTGGAAAGGCAAAAAGGGAAAATAAATACATTTATATTTTACCATTTTGCAAAGGGTCTGGGTTAAACTCCTTCACTGAGAACTGGCACCAGTCTTCTGAGCTATGTGTGTCAACAAACAGGCAAACAAATGTGGCAGCATCCACACCTTTCCACGTCAGCTGTGTCTGCGTTTGTGGTCTAGTGGCAATGCCAGCTGGACTGCGGACAGGAACTGAGAATGTCTCCTTTCATACCCAGAGAGCTAACATTCCTGACCCTTGAATATTACATTTGGTTAGGAAGTCACTTCAAATAAAACAAAGGGCTTCAGCAAGCAAGGAGGCAGGGTTGGCGATTCTACACATAAAAGGCTTTTCTAGGAAGCCATGTGGTGCCACACAGAAGCGATTTTGAATATGGGAGTTGTATACAGCCGACACAGAGATGGACTGAAACAATGGCAAGAGTGGGCTGTTTTTTTTTTTTCTGGGCTCAAGAATTCCTCCTTTCCCCTCATGCACCAGGCAGGGTCTTTGTTTTGGAGGAGATAGAAAAAATCTATACATTATGGCAAATAGAAAACCACATTTTAGACCTCATATCCAAGGGTCGTAGATATGTTGGTATGGAGCCTCCCTGCAGAAGCTCTGGTCAAAGTTTGGGTGAGATGCAATACTCCCCTTTCCCCATCATGTCATTCTGCAGCCAGAGGTTCCAGGGCCACTTCAAGGCCACCACTCCTTCTAGCACAAAGGGCACCTTGGAAAAATCCCTGATCAGTCAGCATTATCAGCTGCTGGGAATGGCACAGGGAAGCAACAGATTCCCTCAGCTCTTGGAAGAAGAGTGTGGCTTCAGCTATGTGCCGCTGTGACTTGGTCTGTCACCTAAAGGGGCAGTTCCCAGTGACTGTGGATGGGCCAGGTGCAAAGTCACAGACTATTCCTCTAGTGGGTGTTCTCACTGGTCACAGCACGATGACACTTATGACCTCCAACAGCATCTTCCAACTGGTAGGAACTTTTGCTGTCAACGTGATTTTGTGAAAAGGAATACATAAATAAAAACAAGATTAGTGCTTTCCTTTCTTCTCTTCCATTTTTTGACATCTACCAGTCTGAGAGTTGCTCAGTCTGTGGAGATAGGAAATGAGGTGAGCTCTTTTAAGAAGAGCTGTTCAGCCACAGGGTGGGATGCCCCTCATCTGGAAATGAATAACACAGAGGCACTAGGTGCCCAACCCATGGGGTCATGGGGATACCTTTATAGGTTTTCCATTTTTGTCATACTGGTACACCAGCATCTTGATACAGTGTGAGTTTGCTGGTGAGATCCAGGGGCTACTTGTTATGGAAAAGTTGTGATTGGTGTAGAACTGTACAGGCTGCTTCTGGCACTTGAAGAAGGCCTTGAGTGTGGCAGCAGCCATGGTGCGGAACCTCTTACTGATGAAGCAGTAGAGGAAGAAGTTGATGGCTGTGTTCAGAAGGGCCAGCATGTTGGCGATGTCAGACATAATGTGCACCAGCCATCGGTTCTGGATGGGCGCCCCATAGAGGTGATAGAGGATCACGATGATGCGAGGCGCCCAAAGGGTGGCGAAGATGGAGGTGATGGTGAACAAGATGGCAGTGGTCTTGCCTGTGGAGTAGCCCCGGAGGCGGAAATTGCTCTTCCTCCTAAGCTTGTACACGATGATGGAGTTCAAGATGAAGAAGATGGAACAGGGCACCAGGTACACCGTGAAACAGTGGACCCAGACCAAGACATGATGAAGAGAGGTGCTGATGTAGTCTTCAGTCCAGATGTTGGGCCACCAGTAGTAGGGGATGCTGGTCAGGAAGCAGGTGATGTAAACACTGACAATGACCTTCCGTGTGCGGGCTGGGTAAGAGACTGTGTGGTACTTGAGAGGGTGGCAGACAGCAATATACCTGTCAATGGTTAAGGGGACCGTAATCCAAATGGAGGTGTGGATGGATGAGAACTCCAGCACCTCTATGATCTTGTCGGGAACTGGCGGCATCTGCATGTTCAGGATGAAATCTTCCAGTAGGAAGTCCACAAACACGATGAAAAAGAGGACCAAGATGTCAGCAGCAGCAAGTGCCAAGAGATAGTTGTAGGAGGACTTCTGTCTTCTGGCCACCAGCTGAGAGAGGATGATCACCGTCAAGATATTTGCTGTGGAAGAGAAGAGAACTGGGTTTATCTTTGAAGCAAAGGAGAATTTGTTGCCCACCATGGGTCCCTTGGGCATATGTTTATCAGGCTGCTCCCGTGGAGGTCAAAGGATAGAATCAGTGTTTTTGAGGAACAACCTCTACCTTACGGATCACACCTGATAAGACACCTGGATATCATTTTTAAATGGGGCTCCTGTTCTGCTTTATTTGTTCCTCACACAACTAGGAGAGGTGGTACTATCATTATCCTGCTTTAGAAATGAAACTGAGCTGCAAGAGCTTGAGGGACTTGCTTAGTGTTACTGAGGTGTAACTCATGGTGACAGAAACTAAACCTGGATCCTGGATCCCAAATGCCACGCTCTGTCTTTGGCCTGGCTGTGTCGAAGTATGAGGCTGAAGTGCGTTATCCTGGTACATGGGTTCAGGGAGGAGTCTGGGCTACGTAACCTCAAAAACCTTTCTAGGACTTAAGATTTTAAGATCTTTTCTTTATAAGTGGATTTAGAATTGAAGGAGAATACATGATTATGACTTTCGGATTAATTTAAAAATGAATTAAATTGATTTTTGGACTAAGTAATCCACAAGCATGGTACATAATTAGAAATAGCAGAAAATGTATATTTCTCTTCCACTCCTGTTCTCCACCCATCTAAGTTTCATTCCCTCAGGGCAATCATGGCCAATAAATAATCTACATGTATATATGTCTGTATAGCATGTGTGCACATAGACAGTTTTTGCACAGATGTAGCAATGTGTTCTTTTCCTCGGGTCGGATTTGTGTTGAAAATGTATCCACACAGTTCCTGATCAGTTTTAAAAACAAGTGTTTGCCTGAATAAGACACATTCAGAAAGTCATTTAAGATTCACCCTAAAATGATATGGCAATGGGTAATATCTGGAAGTTATTCTACATGCTGATTCTCAGTCATTCTCACAATCAACCCTGAAATTTGCACATTGTTAATCCCGTTTTCAGGCAAGGGTCTTAGAGAACGCATGTCCATTGTCTGAGGTCCAGTGCAAAGCTGGAATCTGATCTCTCACCCTCCCTCCCCTTCCCCTTCATGCTCCCTTTCTCAGTAGTGATTCCAAATATCACACAATAGTTCACACATGGAAATGTGTATAATAAACACACCCACACACCTGGTGCACTCATCACTCAGATTAAACAAATTTGAACATTTTGCTAGATTTTCTTCAGTGCTTTTTAAAAAAGGAGTGACATGATAGATGCAGCTGAAGCCCCCTGAAACAGTTCCATTCACGTTCTTTTTTCTCTTTCCCTCTTTTCTGTCGCTAGAGGTGACTGCAGGCTGTGGGCCCTGTGCTCTGTCCGGGGCCATCTTTACCTACTCTTTGTGTCCTTAATATGTCTGTCATTCCATATGCTGCTTTTGTCCTTCAGTATTATTTCTTTGAGACCTAGCGGTTATTTATTTATTTATTTATTTTGGTACTGGGGATCGAACTTGGGACCTTGGGCTTGATGAAGAGGATTCTAAGCAGTGGAAATGGCATGGGCAAAGGTCTTGGGGTAGAAATGAGCTTGGTATGTTCGAAGCACAAAAAGAAATGGGAACAACTCCCCATTTTACAGATGAAAAAACTAAGCATTTTTAGGTCATTTGCCCAAAGTCACAAACTAAGCAAATGGGGAATCCAGATGGTGATTCCAGCTCTTTGTGACTTTATAGAATGCATAATTCTGCTTTGGTTATTTTTGGTCATAGGAAAGGGTTGTCAGCTACAGAAAAGTGATTCCCATTCCTTAGACTCAAAAGATGCCATCCCCAGTCAGAATCTCTTTTTTTCTCTCTCCATGAAGCAATGTGCACACTCCCTCTCATGTGTCTGTTCTCCCGTGCCTATACGGCAGCAGGAATGGCTAAATGCTGAGGTCTCCCCAGAAAAAGTGCTGTGTACGTTCTGCAGAGAGTGATTGCCACTGTCTCTTCCTCCCCGTATGAACCCTGTTTCAAATGTGGTGCTAAAAATTCTCTATATCGCAACTCTTTAAATATATTCTAGGCCCACCTAATTAATGCTTTAAGTCAGGCAAGTCATCAACCCCAAATGAAATTGCTAGGTATTCATATTTGACATTTCCTGAAGTTTCTAGTAATTGCCTCTCTTGAGAGACTAACCTGCAGAAACCAAGGGTTTCCATCTCTTTTGCACAGGTGGACCTCCACCCCCACCCCAAGGTGAGATCAAGATCACTTAGGGTATCTGGGGCTGGGAGAGAGATGGGAAAGCTGGAGAGAGCCAGGAGGGGAATGGGTGCCCCCTGTATGTTGATTCTTCAAAAAAGAAATGAGAGGTAGAGACTTTAACTCTTAAGATTTAACATTTGCTATAACGCCTCCTTAAAAAAAAAAATCCTTTCTTTTCCACCCTGGCACATTTTTCCCCAGAGAGAAAGAGCAGTGTTGACAGGCCCTGTGTGTACTTATAAAGGGTGAGTAAGCTAAGAAACCCAAATCATTGCTGCCTGAAATTGCATTTCACAGCTTTTCTCTCCGACACTCTGACCCAGGGACTCTGTGCTTGAGGAAACCCAGCCAATCCCACCCAAGCCAGCCCCAGTGAGCCTCGCAGTCAGAATGTCAATGCTTCTAAACAGCAAATCCTTTCTGTCAATGGTGCTATGAGACAGGTTTAAGCCACCAGGTAATAGATAGCCCATGTTTTGTGATTGCAAAGCTTCTTGGTTTTATATTCTTGGGGGAATTCATTTCCTGTATTTTGCAGCTTACTGTGCTCCAACCTGAGAGGATTTGGGGAGTGGCTGGGAGACTCTCACAGGCTGGATTGTCAGACCACACCATCGATGGTCTGCTGAGGCCAAGGTCTTCAGAACCATTCTCTGCATCTCTGAGGACTAAGGGGCCCCTGTGTGTTTCTTGGAGGAAGTAACTGGACTGTGAGACAGAGAACATACTGAGAATTGTGAGTTTCTAGCTCTTAGTTTTGTTATACTTCCTGTTTTTTGTCTTTGAAAATTAATATTTTCAGTTATAAAATATGCACTTGTAAAAATTAAACATTATATTAGTGCATAATAATAATAGAATTATGTCACCTTTATTGAGCATTTACTATGGCCAGAACACTTCAAACCATCTTTCATCTTTCATACTATCTCACTTAATCTTCACAACTACCCTTGGAGGTTGGTACCACTAGTTCAGAGCATTAAAATTCAGAGGCTAAGTCACTTATTTGAGGTTACACAGCCAGAGTGTTATGAAACAGAACATAAAACCACTTTCTGTCTCTTGAATTTATATATTCAACTACTACTTTAGAAATTAGAAGGGCAAAGTCTGCAATACCTCATCTTCCAGAGATAATGGATTACCTAGCCTTATAGATGGTCCCCAGTGAACTATACCTCCTGGAATTCATGTCCTTACGCCTTACTATGTAGTTGCCATGCCTTGTGTTAGAGCTGGTCCTGTGACTTTTGAGTAACAGCCCACAGCAAGACAGATGTTGTTTGACCTCTGAGGTCATAAATAGGCCTTTGAAAAACTTGCCCCTGACACTTGGAGAGAGTATGTGCAGGTACTCCAGTTGAAAAGCTCAGTTCAGCTGGTAGCCAACACCTGGCTTTGACTGTCAGCCATGGGAGAGAGCCACCATTTTGGATGCCCACAACATGGAACCCTGGAGACCTCTATCCCCACTGCTGCCTGGGAGCAGCTTCAGGAGGCCAGAAGCATGACTGCCTAGCAGATCCCAGTCAGCTCCAGATCTGTGACACAAAATCATAAATTGTTGCTTTAGTCTCTGAGATTTGGGTGGTTTATTATGCTGCAGTAGATAGCCAGAACTGATTTTTTTTTTTTTGGTACTGGAGACCTTGCATTTGTGAGGCAGGTGCCAGAACCACTGAGCTAAATACCCGGCCTCAGAACAGATGTTTTTGAACCATTTGGTGTTTTTATCTCCAGGATTCTTAAGTGCCTAAAAGAGTTACATGATTAGTAATAATGATCATCACCACAAGATAGGATTATACAGAATAGTATTGTACAAACTTTAAATTTTTTCACTTAGCGATAGATCATAGGTTTGTCCATCAACAGATGAATGGATAAAGAAAGTGTGATATTTATACACAATGGAGTACTACTCTGCCATAGAGAAGGATAAACTTGAGTTATTTGGAGGAAAATGGACACAGCTTGAGACCATAGTGTTAAGTGAACTAAGTCAGACACACAAGCTTAAATATCACATGTTTCTCTCTTATATGCGAACACAAAATATAAAGATCAAAATAAAAGATAGATAATAGGACATAGGGGGATGGATCTTTACAAAAGGGTAGGGGACCAAGAGAGGGAGGGGAGGAGAAGGAGATCAAAAAAGTATTAGGATGTGTTATATACACGTACCGACTCCCCATGAGGAACGTAATTATTGTGTACTGCAAACCTGTACTAATAAAAAATAAAAATTGCTGTCAGCAGGCAACAGGGTGGTGGCCAGCATTTGCATCTGAGACCGACCTCACTGCAGGGCGGAGAAGGTGTGCCAGTCCCAGCACTCGGAAGAAGGCTCTCCCGCCACCATTCTACGCTCCTAGGGCAGAGAAGGTGAGCCACATGGGTGCCAGAAGCACCTCCCCCATGGAAATGAGAAGACATGTAAACAAACCTCAAAAATAAACTTCCAGATCACCTACAGCAACCCCAAAGGGAAACAAGATGGAACAATCTGATACTCAACCACCTGGACTCTCTGAACTGGCAGCAAAAGAGGATCTGGGAAAAATGAAATCAGAAATAATTACTCAGATAACAGCAAAGATTGTGCTCATAGTGCAAGACATGATTAATAA